AAGGAGCAGGGGCCAAAGGCTCTCATTTCCCTCACCAATTCCATGACTCTCTGGTCAGGCATGAACCATATTTGCCAATTTGCTACTGCCCAATACAGAGCATTAAAAATAATTAACTATCTTTTAGGCTTGGGGTAAGGATTAGCAAATAAAAACTACAGCATGCATCTGTGTTAAAGTAGGGAACTGTTCCTGAAAACGTTCCAAGAATTGCTTGCTGCCCCTTGACTTTTAGACTTAAAAATCAAGTTAGAGTTTCACAGAGACTAAGCAATATGTTAAGAGAAAAACTTGAGACAGCTATAGAATCCACTCTCTAAGACCTCAGAGGAAAACTACTACTGTGTGAATTCACGTGCAGCTCACTCCTAATGCACCCTTACCCCCCCCTCTCCCCACAGGCACAACACCGCCTTCCAAGGAGCCATCACCGCATTTTTGCTCACTGAAAAATGAAGCTATTTTGGTCCTTCGACAGGCTGCCAGCCCAGGACCTGGAGACATGCAGGCTGCCATCCGCCTCATCCCAGCTGTTCCTGACCTGTTGTCTGTCATCCGCCAGGTCATCTGAGCAACTGCTGAAGGACGCTTGACGCCACGCCACAGCGGATGGACGTGCTGCCCCACCCTGGCCAGCCTCCCAGCTTTGCCTTCCTCTCATCACTGGGTGGCATGTTGCTCTCCATGACAACACAGGAGTCTGATTCTGAAGGAAAGCTCCTTCCCTGAAGCCTTTTCTACTGTGTGACAATGGATTCGACATTCGCCACGCTTTTTCTAGAAACTACAGGCCACTTCAGAACTGTAAACTTCTCAACAGAGAATATGTCATATAACTGGAGGGGCCTGTCTCTCTTCAGGAATGACCATTCCACTGAGGATTCAATAACCAGTTCTGACGACCGACGCTTTGAGGGTAAGGGGAGCAAGTTTAATGTCATGCTTTTGTAAATCACCACAGTCCCCCAAATGATACAGAAGCCTAAACACGCCTTTAAAACTGCAGTTTGCAAACATCTCAGTAAAGAGGACACCAAAAGGGAGGGGAGAAGTGTCACAGCTGGAGTTGCATGCCATTATAGTCATCTAATGCTAACACGGGGGCTGTTAAAGCTTGCTCTAACCACGGACAATGGCTTCTATCGATAGCACATTTTTTCCCTATGACATGTAGTTTTGTCTCCTAAATATGGAGCCACAGCCTCCAGGTTCACCGTCTAAGTGTGGACAGTATACATGGATGGGGGAGTCCAGCTCAGAACCTGACTAGCAGGCCCAGGAAAGGTGGTCTCCAAAATGGAAAAGGTGTTCACTCACCATACAGTAGCCCTGACCCCAGGCAGGCAGCGCAGCAAAAGGGACAGAGAGCTGGCAGTCTCACAACAAACGAGGACAGTCCACAGACTACAGGACATTCCAGGGATTTCCTTTTACTTGTAATCCCAATTTCCCCGCCACACTGCGCTCTGGATCATGCTCTCTCTCGAATCCTTCGGCCATGGTTTCCTTGGGAGCCATCACAGCCCTGCCTGGGGCCTTCCTGTAGTCCTGCTCTGGGCAACCCCATGCTGCCTTCTCAGAGCTGCCCTGCGGCCTCCATGTGGGGCTTGTGGCTTCCCGGCTCAGGACAGGCAGCCCCTGGCCCTCACGCATGCTCATCACTCAGGCAATCTCTCTTAGCCTCCGTGTCACTAAAGAGAGCTACAGAGTTACCGGCTACGAACGCTGGAGGTGATAGCAGAGGCGGGAAGCCTTTCCCTCTCAAACGACAGCCAAACAGTAAGTAAAAAACAAAACCCCCCTGCCCGGAAGAAAAGGATGTCTGGAGCCTAGTTACTTTACAAATTAGCAGAGGACAGGAAAGTTCCTAAGCGGAAGGAGGAAGTGCCCTCCCCAGACACTGGCGGCCGAACAGCCTCGGCGGCGGCTGCCGCTGGCCGACTGCTCCTGCATCAATCATCTTCACTGGCTGCTGCTTTCTGCCTCACTACACACCGGGCACCGACGATGCCAGAATAAAACAGAAAGGGTCCCCCTCACCACACCCCACCCTGCTCTCCAGACAGCCACGTGGGGCCTTCGAGATCTTCCCACCCACCTCATCCTGACGGGGACTCTAAGGGACTGATGGACCTAACCCTTCATTTGGAGACAGTCATGTGTCTGTCTTCCTTCCCAGGGCAAGCTAGAAGAAGAAGAAGAGAAAATATTTGTATGAAGAGAGAACAAAGAAGACTTCAAAAGGCCTGCAGAAAGAAGCAGCACCAAGACCAGGCAAAACCTGAGAACCTACTGCTCACAAGGCCTCAGAGGGAGCCCTTAACTCTTCGTATTTTACACCGTGAGCCCTCTGGCCTGTGGACCCTTTCTCCAAACTGGCTTTTCACAAATGAAACCAATTACACCGAAATACAATTATCAAGATACTAAGAAGGGGAAATAAGGCAACATATGCCCTGCATCATTAATGCCTGGAACCCCAGAGCCAGGAGCAGGTCTAATTACCGGCTTCTGAGCTGCGATGAGCGGTTTTTAGAAATCTGCTACAAATGTGATACGGTTAAAAAAAAAAAAATCAGTGACTTTAATTGGTGAGGAAGACAAATGCTGCAGACAGTGCAGGCATCTGTCATCCACACTCACGACGGCAGAAAATGCTAGCATTACTGAGACGCTGAAGTGGAAGTTTTCTGCTTACCCTTTGCAGCTCTCTATAAAACGGTCTCTGCAGAGCCCCATATAGAAAGGGTAGGAGGCATGGCTTCTCGGGCAGAAGCAAAGGGTCTGTGGCAGCATATCTGGCCTCTCCCTCCCTCTGGTCCTCATTTTCCCCGCCCAGGGCTCCTCAGAGGGCCCGAAGACCACTCCTGAACGAGTGTATTAGAGCCCGGGAAGAGCACGCGTGCGGCACTGTCTGGCCTGTTTCCCCAGCTTCCCAGGCAAACCTCAGCCCTGCACGAGGCCTCGGCCCCAGGCCTTCCCACTGTGTCGGCCTTCACCTTCCGATCCTGACTTCAGCTCAAGCGGCTCCGTAACGCCAACCACTGTCGGTATTCTTAGCACGTGTTTTCCAAGTGCTGACTCGCACTTGTTTTACCCTCCCCACTGTCTGAGTCACTGTTACTCTGGCTTACTTTCCCTTCGGATGCAGAGTATCACGGTTTGCGGGTTTTTCTCAGTGCACAGACTGTCTTACACACCCCCAGTTTGCTGTGGTGACTACAGCACCCACTCCTTTCCCTCCACGCTCCCCTTTCTACCACAAGCAGAGGATCCAGTGTGTGTGGCTGGCTCCCAGAGAGCAGTGCACAGCCCACACCAATGTCCCGATGTCTGCTGTCCCTTCTGCGGCCTCAAAGGTAGCCTTCCTATAAAGATCCCTGGTACCCGCAATGCTGGCGCTCCCAAGCTTTCGCGTCTGCGGTGGCTGGAGATTTCAAATGTTCTCGGGGATGAGAAGATGGGAAGGTGGGGTGCGCCACAGTCCTGGGGCCTGCTGCCGCTTGTGCCCAGATTCTGCGGCAGAAGGTCCTTCCGCCCTCCACTGGCCAGTTAAGAGAGGTGGCTACAGGCTGTGTCAGGGAAGGAGGTGAGCCTATGCCATGGGCAGCAGTGAGCTGTACCCTAAGCCACTGCTCTCAACCTTCCTAACGCTGAGGCCCTCTATCCCAGTTCCTCATGGTGTGGTGACCCCAACAGTGTTATTTTCATTGCTACTTCATAAATGCAATTATTTTCATTGCTATTTCATAAATATAATTTTGCTTCATAAATACAAGTTTACCTCATAAATATAAATATATACTTTTACTTTATAAATATAAATTTGCTACTCTTATGAATCATAATGTAAATATGTGTTTTCTGATGGTCGTAGGCGACCCCTGTGAAAGGGTCACTTCACCCCAAAAAGGCCATGACCCAAGGGTTGAGAACCACTGCTCTCAGTGATGGAACTCCTCAGGGAATAAGAAATGCTGCCTGTGGGCAGGGCAACTGGAAGCTGCGGGCTATTTAAGATTAAGAAGCTGCTTGACATTTCTCCATGTTAGGCATGTGATTTGAAGGTCATTCCAAGAGGTTAAAAGTCACTCTGTAAAGATATGAGCCACAACAACCACAGAAGGCCTACCTAATGGAAGTACCTCAGAGCAGCAGGTCTCTGGTGTCCAAGTTTAATCTCTAATTTCAGTTACTCAAGAGAAACTCCAAAAAGTCCTATTTCTAACTTTTACTTTTTACAAAACTATTTCTGAGGCCTTAGTATGTTTTGTATATTCTCTGAGGCTGGGAAGCAGAAATCATTTAGACAGTGAGCAAGCATCATTTCCACTATCCTTGTATAGTTCACTGAGACTCTTACACACATCAAAGCATCCATGATGTCACAAAAACATTTCTTTAAAAAACAAGTAAGCTGGGGCTGGAGAGATGGCTCAGAGGTTAAGAGCACTGCTTGTTCTTCCAGAGGTCCTGAGTTCAATTCCCAGCACCCAGATGGCTCCCAACCATCTGTAATGAGATCTAGTGCCCTCCTGTGGTCTGCGGGTGTACATGCACACAGAACACCGTATACATAAAATAAATAAATCTTAAAAAAAATAAATAAGCTAAGAAAACAGCTAATTTTCTTGATAATGAAAAGAACAGAATTAAAGAAGAGCATTAGTTCTGATGAAAGCAAATGGTGAGATGTCAGGTCACAGCAGCGCGGGTTTGAAGCAGACAAGAGTCTCATACACGGTCTGCATGGAACTGGAAAGCAGCCACTGTGTGAGTTTTCCGTTCATGTTCTGGACCACATGCAGCTGCCTCCTCTCTCTCTCTCTCTCTCTCTCTCTCTCTCTCTCTCCCTCCCTCCCTCCCTCCCTCCCTCCCTCCCCCCCCCTCTCTCTCTCTCACACACACACACACAAACACACTTCTCAATATTACAAAAGAAGAAAAAACAAACACCCAGTATTAGAATGGTGTGAACCAGAGGTGAGCAGGGAGCTTACTTGTAAAGATAGTATTCTGCAGAATCTATATCTTCTCGAGATGAAATGTTGTCCACAAACTAAAGAAAAACAAACAAACAAATCTTGGTTAAATATAATTGTGCCATATGTTTGGTCTAGTTCAGACACTGCTCTTTAAAAGACATGGACTCTTGTTATTGGAATGATGTTCCTGTGGTACAGCTCCATCATGGAAACCCTTCACACTGGTGAAAACAAATCATACATAGCTTTTCTTCTATATGTAGAACAACTTTGGTCCAAAACAAAACAAACAACAATAAAGCATCAAGTAAAAGCCAACCCCAAACCTTGCTCACACAAGATGAAGCCTTTCACAGCAGTGTTCACAGCTATTGTCACCTTTATCTCGTCTTCCCTCTACAGCCCACCCTCCAAATCCACAAAACACATGGATGAAATGGTGCGGACTCTTAAGGCTGGAACAACATTGTTCAGAACACGAAGATCTAAGTGTAGAGAAGTCAGTGTGTGACCACTTTCCCTCTGATTTTAGTGTTGATATGGAACAACCGTTTTAGGATTGAAGGCTCCCTTCAAGCTATAAAATCTACTAAGCACTGGGCCTGAGGCTGCAGCTCACTGGTGGGAAGCAGGTGACTCACATTCATGAGGCTCTAGGTTCAACCTCCAGCACCTGAAAAAATCTGTATGTTCCTTACCCAGGATCTAAACGAGCAGAAAACATTACCCGTGGATGGATTCTGCCCTCAAGAGGGCAATCAGAAGCAGGAAGATCTAGTAAGAGCTCAGGCGTGCTGTGAGCGTAACTAGAACCTCGTGAAGAGAGAAGGGATGAAGAAGGGAGACTTTCTAAAAATAACCAGGACTTGTGGGTTTGATTTAGAAATCCATTAAAGGGCAGCTACCATGTGGTGCAAACACAGGCCCCAAGCTTGAGTACCAGCTCTCCTGATAGCTCCTGTGGCACAAACAGATGGCACAGCCCCTCTGGGACTTACTTGCTCCATCTGTATAAACAGCTACAGGCTTCCGCCCTGAGGAGTAGGAGTCTCAGGTTGGAACATGCACACTAAAGCTCTTTGAAGTTCCAAGTGCTGTCTAAACGAAAATCAGGTATCACAGCCCACAGAGGGGTGACCACCCTGAAACAACGGTCTCCCAATTCTTCACCACTCTGCCAGAGATGAGTCCCTCGAATCTACGTGATGACAGCAGAACTGTTTCCCTATTAAAGGGGCAAAAGGCACAGAGAAAGGATCAGGGCTGGAAAGAAAGTAGATTTAATACCGCCCACTGGAGGATCCTGCTCGCTTCTACAAAAGACACCCCTAAGAGCTCATCACCTCTGAGGGAGACACAACTACCCTCAAACCGGAAATGGGGAAACTGAGGGTGCTGCTGCCCAGTGTCATAACCGGAAATCACCTCCAAGACAAGACCAGGTACATGTGAGGGAGGCAACAGAAGTGGACTTGGATGCTCCAGCCTTTCTGCTTACAAGCTGTGTGAATCTGGAGTGGGACCTCATCATCTGGGCCTTGCACAGACACCACGCTCCTGTGCAAACACACACACATGATGCATGGCAAGAAACCAGAAGAGCATGGCAGTGCTCCGGAGTGGCTCCTACCAACTACTGCTCCCGACTGCGGGCCTGACATTCGTCCCCCACTGTCTAGCAGCAGTGGTTTGATAACAGTATCCACTCTTTCATAGAGGTTGGTCAGCTACTCAAAGTGTGTTTCCTGCCCTTACACTACAGCATATATTAACCTGCAACACACAGAACAACATAACCAGACGAAAAACCAATCAGTGATTGCTAACTTGAGTCAGTACATCATAAAATACCTATTGGTAATTATAAAAACATGCCATACCGTGGAAAGATAGTTCACATGGTGACGACTGTTTCCACAACACAGCCTGGTCTGTACAGTCTTGTTTGCTTGTTTCCTTCTTTGAAAATAGGTTTGAAATGTTCTCACCTGTGATACCGCTAAAGAACTAATAGGCAACTTTCTTTTCAAATGGTCTTACCCGTGATATCGATAAAGAACTAACAGGCAACTTCCTTTCGTAGGCTTTGTCCATTAAGGATGCAAGGTCAGCTGTGAAGACAAAGGAGAAAGAACCTTGTTAAATACACGCATTTCTCCAGGAAAAACTAACAGATTTGACTCCTGCCAGATGGCTGTGAACATCACCAAGGCAGTACCAAACAGATGCTCATTCTTGCTCTTTTTCAGAAGCTGAGGACAACTGACGTTAGTCAGTTTTAAAGGATTTGTTGAACTAGAGAATGTAAAATAATAATTAAAATACAAATTCAGCTCTTAAAAATAGATCAGTAAGGTACCTCTGTAAGGAAACACGAAGTATTATGTTTGTCAGACTCCAGGAAAAGAAACTGGATGCAGGGCAGGTGCAGGGACCCGTCACTATCACTCGCCTGGCAGAGACACCAGTCAAGTGTGCTAGCTCTAAAGGTTTTGTAATGGTCATTTACCAAGGGACCTCCAGATAGTTCCTGAACAAAGCAGAATTCCCTTGACGATATATCCTTCCTGGTTAGTAGTCTCCACCACCCAGGTGTTGGCTCCTCTCAACAGAACATCCGTAAGAACACTTGGAACTTGTGACGTTACACTCATCTCAGACCCTAAAATCACCTTTGATCCTAAACAACACACACTCCAAATGGTTTACGTCCCATCATATCACTGCTTCTCAAATTTACAGTATTTTCTAGCTCCCTCCACCTCTCCTCATGATACTCTCCCATTTCACTGAAAATAATCTAGAGGGCATCACCCTGATACCAAACCTACCAGGCACCTGTGCGGAAACACCCAGCCTTCTGGGGATAAACGGTACTAACAAGAAAACATGCCCTGTCTCATTTCCTACAGTCACCTCTCCTCTGTGCCCCCAACAGCAAGCCTCCCCAAAAGGACTGGTAGCATCTCCAGGTCTTGAACTCGGGTCTACTCGGAGTTGGGCTTCCATCCTCCCTAACACCAGGGAACACCTCCAGACTGTTGAACCCAGTGGTTCACTCTCCAGCCGCATTTGGCTTGAGCTCTCTTTGGCTAGAGATATCCTTAAGGAAATGTTTATCCCTCAGCCCCAGCCCCACATTTCTCAGGCTCCTTTGCAGGATCTCTTCTTTCTGTCTCCTGATGTTGGGATGCCCAAGTGTCGGTAGTAAGTTATGCTAAGGCTTCACCATGGGGCTCAGGCATGACATGATGTCAGTCTCCACCTCCCCACCCCCCACCCCCGCTTTAATCCCATTGTTGGCTCTGTGTGTAGACATCTACCCAGTTCTGCCCTTTAAGTCCAGACCTGCATTTCCAGTTGTATACAGACACCTCCATTTGTGTACTTGGCCTTTCAACTGCATGTGCTCTAAAGTCTTCAACTCCCCATCTCAGTGAAAAGAGAGAGATGGCTGACTGGTTAAAAAGTGGAAGTTATCCTTGATCCCACTGGTTTTCAGTCTATAAGTAACCAGTCAGCAACACCTACAGGCTCCAGATTTGAACACAGACATATTTATTTCATCATCCCCAATGCTAGGCCACCGAACTTTTATGCTTTAATAACTCCTAAGGAGTCTAGGGGCTAGTTCGAGCAAGCCTGAAGACCCGAGTTTGATCGCCAGCACAAAGGTAAAAAGCCAGGCATGGCGGTATGTGCTTGGGATCCCGGTACTCACTAGGTCACTGGGGCGATCTGGCCAGGCAGCTAACGTGGTAAGTTCCAGACCAGTGAGCAACCTTGACTCAAAGAACAAAGTGAAAGGAACTTGAGGCTATCCTCTGGCCTCCACCCACACCTACATAGATGTACACATGTGCCACCATCATCCACGCAAACACACGTCATCACCTTACCCTAACAGTCAACCTCTTGTCCTGCTGCTAGGCTTTCAAGGACAGTTCAAATCCTGTTCCTCTTTCTGAATCAACTCTAAGCCCCCATGTGAGATGGTCCCTTCCTTCCCTTACATTAAAAGGGTCAGGGAAGAACTAGATTCACTGGCCCACACTCGGTTTATGGGCCAGTTCCAGGAAAAGCACCCAGGAAATATCTACCGGCAGGAAGCAAAGGAAGAAAGGATGAGGAAGAAATGATTACACTTCCCAGGCTTTCTCACTCTGAAGGATGAAATGAATAGCAAGCCTGGAGACCCTCGGAGACACTCAGCAGATACTTATGTAAGCAACTGCTTACTGTTCCTATAACCATTCCTCTTCTCATTGCCCTTGGGAAATGGTCCGTCCTTATGGCTTTTAGCAACTGGGGAAAAACAGCTTTGCAGAACTCCTAAAACCTGACGTGACGTAAATAAATAGCCTTTTTAACGACCATTTCAAAAGTACTAGAGCAGGTGATTACAGCATCTATAAAACCACAAACAGATCCTTAAAACCCCCTCCTATCAGGGGATCAATACTGTCGAGTGTACTTGCTCATAATTAGATACCAACAGCTCTCTCGTGGTACCAAGTCTATAATTATGACCACTCTTACATTAATGATCAATATGAGGAATCACCTCCCTTTATTCAAAATGTATACTGTATTCAAGCAAGCAAGCAAGCAGACAAAGCCAGGATGAGGAGCTCCTGGCCTAACTGAAATGGCCGGAGAGCTCCCTTCCCTTGTCCTTTCACAGCACACAGCATCTCACCCTTCACAGGACTCAGACAGCTTCCCTGATCACCTCCAAGCGTGGTGACCAGACTCTATCTGAAGCCTCCACACCCAGGCATCTTCAGTCAAGTGGAATGGGCCAGGGCTTCAGAAAAGGCAAGAGCCCGCATCCATGAATAACATTTACGTACTGCAAGTCAGAAAGGTTTGCTGCAAACACACTATGTGACCAATCACCCCGCGTTACAGCGCTGGTGTGATGAATGAGGCAGAAAACAGCAAAGGGCGGGGGGCTAGGAAAGCGGGACAGCTGCGGCATATGGAGGCCGGCACCACAGGCTTCTGGACCGTGGCCTCCCACAGCCCAAGTCACACTTGACGCATTAGCGAGGGCCAACAGATGCCCAAGTTCTGTTCAACGGGCTGTGCCAAAGGCGCTGTTTTGCTAGGTCTCCCGTTCCCCAGGAACACACACTGAAGCTGGTGGCTGTGGGCAGCAGACTATGGGAAAATGGACCTGAAATAAGAATTCTTCATTTAGCAGAATTCCAACTACATACACAATGTGGAGATATGTTTAGAAGATGAAACACGGATACTAGTAAAGTGTTCTTGTTTGAAGACGGCAACGACACCGAGAATCTAAGGACATGAAAGGTTTTAGTGAGGATCCTGACTCTTTATAACGATGGAGTGAACTCCCTAAAACTGTAAGCAGGACGGTGGTGGTGCACATCTTTAGTCCCAGCACTGGGAGGTAGAGGTAGGCAGATCTGTGAATTCCAGGCCAGCCTGCTCTACAGCGCTAGTTCCAGGTCAGCCAGGGCTACACAGAGAAACCTGTCTGGAGGTGGGGGGTAGGGGTGGGGGGAACGACATAAAACAAAACCAAAAACAATCCTGTGAATTTCCAGGCCTCCCAGCCAGAAGAAGAGTCGCAGTCTATCGGTTTGCAGTAAACCAGGGGCATCCAAGTCATTAGCAACAGAGCCAGCAGCAGCTGGTGCAGCCAGTTGAGAAGAATATGAGAGGTGTAAGAACTACCACGGAGGGAGGGAGGCAGGCTTGGAGTGGTGTCTAAGCCCAAAGATTCTAAACAGAAATTCTGTTTCTGGAATAAGATGAACTATAATGTTTGCACCACCCTTCTTACCATAAAAATGAAACACTTAAATAGCAATTATTTTTCACATATAAAATGGAGCTTTGAAAAAGGTAGATCCAATTGCCAGAGGCCACACGAAACTCACACTTGGAGGGCTTGAGGAAGAATCACAGTGGCGGTCACCCCAGGAGCATCAGGGAGACCCTGGGGCGTGGAGCCTTGGTTTTAATAGTGGGCAGCATCAGAGGGTAACAGTCCAGCCTTCTGTGAAAGGTGAAGCTGGTTAGGAGGCGCTTGTGGACAGTCAGGCTGGAGCTGCATTTGTACTGAAAAGAGAAACTGGAAAATAATGTCCCTAGAAACAAGGACTGCTGGTCTCCGAGGATTCTGAACCACAAGTCACCCCTGGGGCCTCTGAAGCCTTCAAAATATGCCAAGTTGAGATTATTCAAAGGGGTGTTCTTTTACACAAAATCTAAAAATGGCTAACTAATCTAAACGACAAGAATCAATCAATCAATTCCCAGGTGCCTGGGTGTGGGGCGGGAAGGAGGGGGGGTTCAAAGGACTGGAGAAAACTGCCTCTGCAGGGTGACAGGACTGTGACGTGTAAGGTCAGACAGCTTCGCGTTTGTCAAAACTTACTCAACTGCATGCTTCAGGTACGGTTTGTTTTTATGTAAATACTGCACAAAGCTCACAAGAAAGGGGAGACAGGACAGACAGGGAATAAAACAGGCACAGTGCTGTGTGTCTACAACCCCAGCACCCGGGAGTCGGAGGCAAGGAGAGCGCATGGTTGGGATCAGCCTGTACTGCACATCGTGAGCTTGTCTCAAAAAGCAAGCAAGCAAGCAAGCAAAGTTCACAAGCAGGTTAGACATCAGAGAGAACCAGTGAACTGGAAATCAGACTGAGGAAAACCACACAGACTGCAGCAAGGACTATGAGGAAGACGTTAAGAGACACTGAAAACAGAGTAACAACTTACTGTCCAAAAACGTAAATGAAGACAAGGGGGTGAGGTGAGGTGCAATGGGCAAACAGCTGGGGATTTTGTGCGTACATGTGTGTGTGGATGTTCGTGTGTGCATTGTGTGCATGTTCATGCGTGCATGTTTGTGTGTGCCTGTTCATGTGTGCATGTTCATGTTCGTGTGTGTGTGTGTGTGTGTGTGTGTGTGTGTGTGTGCATGTTCATGTGTGCACGGCCTATGAACATGTGGAGGCCACAGGTCAGCACCAGTGTCGTTCAGCTCCTCAGGCACTGTCCATACTGTTTTGAACCAGGTCTCACTGGTCTAGAGCTTGTCCATCAGGCTGAACGGGCTGTCAGTGAGGACC